CTTGCATGGAAAATGGCTTCGAACGTCTTCTTGCACCGAAGGGAGGGATCTTGCCCCCGTCAACCGAGGCATCTTCTCCCCCAGGAGACCCGGAAAAAGCCTTTCCCCCCACCCCCGGGAAAGCGATGAAGGAAGGGCTACTCCGGCTGGCTGGTTTTTCTCCCCTCTGGGCTGCCCAGACAAAGCCCATCGGGAGGAACCGACCCCCCCCCACCACCACGCCCGCTCTCATCCCCCACCAACAAACGCACCGACCTCCTTCCCCAGATCGCGATGCGGGCAACTCACGAGGAGGCCAGGCGCCAGGCGCGCTGAGGGGAGCGTGTGTGTGTGTGTCCAGATACAATGTTTCCCTTTCCGCTTCCCTTTGGGAGGCGGCCAAACAGGGGGAGGAGCTCCTCTACGCCTTCGTCGCTCTACCTTCCCCTCCGGCTCTCCCCCGGGGGGGGGGGGGAGGAGGCGGTGAAAGAGTGTCGATGAGAAGCCGGAAGTGTCACAGCGCGGAGCCGCTTCCTGGGTGCAGATCTGCCCTCTTTTAGGGAATGTGGTCCAGGAAGCCGGGCGGGGGGGACGGGGCTGGCTGTCCCTTAGGGTGAAAGGGAACCCAGGCGCCACGCGTCCGGCTCCGAAGCGAGGGGCACCCCTTAGGAAAGGGGGAGGGACGACCTGTAATCCCGGGCTGTGCTCCTGGGGATTCTGGGACTTGTAGTCCCAGGCCGTGCTCCCTAGGAATTCTGGGACTTGTAGTCCCAGCCATGCTCTCTGGCGATTCTACGACTTGTAGTCCCGGCCCATGCTCCCTGGGGATTTTGAGACTTGTAGCCCCGGGCTGTGGTCTCTGGGGATTCTGGGACTTATAGTCCTGGGCTGTGCTCCCTAGCGTATCCCCATGTTCTCTGGGGATTCTAGGACTTGTAGTCCCGGCCCATGCTCCCTGGGGATTTTGAGACTTGTAGCCCCGGGCTGTGGTCTCTGGGGATTCTGGGACTTGTAGTCCTTGTCTATGATCCCTGGGGATTTTGAGACTTGTAGCCCCGGGCTGTGGTCTCTGGGGATTCTGGGACTTGTAGTCCTGGCCCGTGCTCCGTGGGGATCTCCATGCTCCCTGGGGATTCTGGGACTTGTCGTCCCAACGTCACGATTGCAGCCCCTTTTCCTCCTCTTTCTGCTTGGGTCCACCTACCGGCTGCAGCTCCTTGCTGATAGAGGGGCGGGGCTTCTGAGAGGCTCCGCCCTCACCCAGTTGTCTACCCCCTCTCACTGCTGCTGACCCCTCCCTGCCCCTAAAAAGGCCTCTGCAGCCTGGAGGGGGAGTTCGGGGGCAAAGGAATTCTTGGGGGTGAGGGATCCCTGGTGCTTGTAATGATAGTTGTGTGATGATTGTCAGACTTAGCATGCAGGGGGCTTGACTCTCCCTCCTACGGAAGGAGACCTCCAAGTAAGGGAGAGAGAGAAAAAATATCAGAAGCCAGCCTTGCATTTATCACATTGATTCCAGAAGGAATCCAAGCAACCACAGAACAATCCTATTGAAATTCCTTCGAGTAGCAGGATTTCTTCCTTTTCAGGTTGCAATCACTTCAGGCAATCTCAGCCTCAGTCTTTTTCTGCCGGCTTTATTCGCCTCCAGCGCTTCTGTGTTCCCTGAGCGCAAAATGACTTTGGAGTTGTCAGGAAATCCAAAAGTCTTACAGTTATAAAGAAAACTGTAGGTACAAATATAACATTAAATAATATTAATATTAGTATTTTAAAAACTCTTATTGTTTAAATGCTTAACGTTTGGTTCTAAATAAGGGCCTGCATTTATTTAGGAACTAGGATACTAATCATTTGAACACGGAGCACTCGCTGTGCCTAAGATTGGTAACAGAAACATTTGTGAGTACCTTAGGAGTTGAGCAACAGAAAACAAGCCCCTTGAGTTCAAACTCAGGTCGTGGAGCAGAGCCTTTGACTACAGTACAATAGGACCCCCCTTACCCTTAGGATCAATATCCCTAGATTCACTTATTATGGTCTGAAAAAATTAAAAATAGTGAAAAGAAAAATGCCTAAAATATACATTTCTAAAGATGAAGGTCTCCTTCATGGATTGCTGTCTTCAGCAGGAGTAAACAAGAAAAAAGATGAAGGTACCAAAACGGACCACTAGAGGGAGCAAGAGACCACACAATTCTATTTAAAATAGCATTTACTATAATCCATGTTTTTCAACAAAGGCAGGCGGGGGGGGGGCTTAAAACTAATCTGAATATGGCGGAGGGAGTGTTTCCTTCCGTGCTGCAGTTTAGCCATAGTGCCACAAGACTGCTTTAGCTGTATGCACATACTCAAGTGAAAAACAAAGGAGCAACATATGTTTTAACACTAAAAGAGAACAATAAAAATGTTTCATGTTACAGTGTAAAAATGCAAAAGCTGTAAAGTTAGAGAACACTTCGTAGAAGCATCAGTACTTGAAAAGCATGCAGTATTAAAAATACTGACATTAAGGGATAAATATGAAAAACACGTTGTTAGCCTCCGAGTATGATAAAACACACAGAGAAAAATATTTTCTCACCCAGCTGTACCAAATCAAAACATGGAGGATAATCCATGGTTTCTGTGTGTTTTCTCTACACTGCTTCATTATCTTTTCTTCCTATCCAGCAACACTCACTGGCCTCATTTTCTCACCGAAAGAATAGTTGTTTGTTTTGAACTGATTTTAGACATTTTTCAATGGTATTCGTTTTCTTATCAGTTTCCTTGGGTCATCCGATAATAAACAATTATTTTTTGAGCCAACATAATTCCTGATAGGCTCCACTCTTACTCCATTTCCTGAGTGAGCAAAGATAATATTGACAAACATTTACGTTTTGACTATCCTGTCTAACTTTTATTATTTGTCATTAAGAATTAACTTGGCTACTTAAACCCCACATCTCCTGAATTTATATTTGACCATGTGCAAATGTTATTACATTCAGCAAAGACGCTCTAACAGTATGCAATTTTGCATTTCCATTTACCACTTTCTTTACTGCAATCTTCTCTATATTTACAATTTTTCACCACAAAAGCAAAACAGTTATAGAGTTGCCAAAATGTGTTCGTTGGTTCAGAAAACGGGGATGGTTTTGAAAATGATGGCGTTGAAACTGCACTTGTCAGAAGCAGTTTCAACTTATTTAAAGCATGCCTTTCCTTCATCCCTCCGGTAATCATTTTATTATTATTATTTCTAACACTCTTAAACATGCAAGGTTTCAAATACTGGCATGGGAGAAAACCTCCTTTGTGTATGTGGGGGTGGAGAATCCTTCTTTTGACAAAACTGAAGAGTGTTCCAGAGGGAATTCATTCTTCTGGAGCCACAACGCCCAGTTGGGGCCACCACATCCACCCCTTCTCCTCAAGCTGGCCAACCTCGCAGGGTTCTTGTGGCTATAAAGTGCAGAAGAAGCACAATGGATGTTGCACCACTGGCCCTTCTCCCAGGCTGCATCTCTTCGTCCTTGTCGTCCCCCTCCTTGGGCCATGGCCTCCATCCGGCCCTTACCCCTACCCCCTCTCTCCACTTGGGCCACTCTGTAGACCTCCAGGTTGCGGACGGGGGGGGAGCTGCCTACCTCTAAGGTGGCTCTCTGTGTGTGTGTGTGTGTGTGTGTGTTCATGTGTGTGTGTATGTGCATACTAAAAATCCTCTCCCCCTGATTCAAAAACTCAGCCAATGTAAAGGGATGGACGTGAGGGCCAAAGTGATGAGGACTCTCCGACCATCCCAAACATTCGGGAGGAACTGAAATGATCCATAGTAGTTCCAGGAAAGAGGCAGAAATTTAAGTGAACCCTGAAGCAAATCTGACGAGAGGACATTTTGGTGGCCACTCATTCTTAGGGTGGCCGTGAGTCTGAAGCTACTTCATCGTGTAGAGCAACTGCAAACTGCACGTACATTGGGAAACAGCCAGGCTGTGATCTTCCCTCTGGGAGAATTCTGTCAGACGGAATTAGAATGCCATCCTTTACTGTATTTTAATATCCACTAAAAGCAAGATAAATACAGGGTAATAATTAGGTAACCAAAGAAAAACCCGTGTAGTTTAAGTACGAATTACTCACAGCAGCTACATTTTCTTACAGTACTAGATTCCTTTAAATATTGACCAAACGTCAGTAAATACAGAGTACGTTCAATGAAAACACCCAAATCCACCAGGGAGCTGAGAGGTCTTGCTTAGAACGTGTCCGCTTTGACAAAGAAATTGGAAACTGGGAATTTATGGAAGCATCTTGGTTATCTGGGATACTCTAAGCTTTGACAAAGGAACTGCAGCCATTATCTAAGGAAAACTCTGTTGTAAAGGAATAGAGGTGGGACTTTAAAGTCTTTACTGGAGTCTTCCATGCACAAGAAATGGGCCATAAGTGCTGGACATGTTCTAGCAAGACCTCTCAACATCCTGGTGGATCTATTTTCATTGAATGTACTCTGTATTTACTGAAATTTGGTCAATATTTAAAGTGATACAGTTGTTTATTTTAAGTCAATACAAGAGATTGCAATTAGATGGTAACTGATTGGCTCGCTCTCAAGTTGATTCCAGCTTGGGAACACATTTTTCAGGGTTTAATCGCTATAGGGTCACCAGAGGTGGTTTCGTCTTGCTTCGTCAACACAAGATACGCTCAAAAGCTTTCACCTTAGAGGCTTCCGCACCCTCCTGCCTGTGTCTTCGATTGGCCGATGAAGGGATCCTAGCTGAAGAGAATTTTGAAATTTGCTTTTCCTCAACACAGCGGTTGCATCTTTAACCCCCCTTTTCTCTCCTTGAGGGGATTTATATGCCTAATCGTTCCTCTCCATGTTTATGGGGCAAGTTAAGGACCAAATGTCGAAGCCAGCTCTCTAGTCTTGCATTCAGGATTCTCTGCTCTTTTACTATTGCTTCTTGCCTGTCCATAACAATTTCAACATTTTCTTCCATCATCCCATGGAGGGATCTTGCATTCAGGATTCTGAGTCTACTTCTGTGCTCTTTTACTTTTGCTTCTTGCCTGTCTGTAACAATTTCAACATTTTCTTCCATCATCCCATGGAGGGTGATAAGAATTTCTTCTTACAATAGAAGCAGTCTTTTTGCTTTCTTCCTGAATAATATCTCCGGTTTCAACCCGCAATTCTTCTCATTCATGGTCAATTAAGTTTAGTGAAAATCTGTTCTTTATGTGGATTTTAAATCCAACAGAAATGATGTTTAAATTATACTTTGGCACTAGGATTCTTTTTCGTACTCTTCTTCAGTTTTACTCTAAGGTTTGATATTTGACAGTTCATGATCACTACCACAGTTGGCTCCTGGTCTTGTTATGGCAGAGAGAATACAGCTTCTCCAACTCTTTCTTCCAATTATGTAGTTGCCTTGATTTCTAAATAGTCCATCTGGGAATCTCCATGTATACCATTATCTGGTTGCGTGAAGCTGGTGTTAGTAATGAAGAGACACTTGGCTCCACAGAATTCTGAGAGTCCATCTCTGGTTCCATTTTGTTTCCTACTTTTGCATTCCAATCAAGTATCATTAAGGTTTCATTGTTCAATTGACCTCTTTTGCATCTTTGAGAATTGAAGACTGTTCCCCACTTAAAGGTCTTACCCAAGTAAAGTCATGGCATCCTGTTTTAGGATTCTTCTTCCTGTATCTTCCTTCATATGTCCTAAGATTACCACTTTGAAATGATGCTCTTGGGGGACTCTCTGAAATTCTCGGACTTTGGAATTCCCTGGACTCCTCCATGGCCCTGAAGGCCCCTCCTGTCTCCCCAGGTCTTCTCAAGCTCTCAGAATGAGTAAGGTTCCTTGCTTCCAGGAAACCTCTTTGGAGCCTTTCAAGTGATGTATTGCTGCTGAAGTTCCTTCCGCACTCGAAGCTCTTGAGGGTGGACTTCTCCCCCGTTTGGACTCTTTGATGGCACGTCAAGGATGACTTCCAAGCAAAAGTCTTTCCACACTCTGAGCACTGATAGGGATTCTCCCCTGTATGGATTCTTTGATGGCTTTTAAGGTTTGGGACATGACTGAAGCTTTTCCCACACTCTAAACATTCATTAGGTTTTCCCCCCATGTGTGTACTTCTGTGCTGTTTAAGGACGGTCGTATGCGAAAAACGTTTCCCACACTCTAAGCACGCATAAGGCTTCTGCCTCGTATGGATTCGTTCATGGATTTGAAGGCTGGCGATGTGACTGAAGCTTTCCCCACACTCTGAGTATTCGTGAGGCTTCTTCTTCATGTGGATTCTTTGATGCCTCTCCAGGGATGCATTGCAACGGAAGGCCCTTCCGCACTCGGGGCATTTGTGAGTCTTCTCCGCTGTGTGGACTCTTTGGTGACACGTCAGGGATGGTTTCCAAGCGAAAGCCTTTCCACAGACAGAGCATTGATAGGGCTTCTCCCCTGTGTGGATTCGGAGGTGGGTGTTCAAGCTCGACTTGTAATTGAAGCTCCTTCCACACTCGGGGCATTTGTATGGGCCATTCTCTCCCGGGTGAAGGCTTTGATCGCGTTTGAGTTCTGCATTGCGACCACAGTCTGTATTTTCATGCTTCCCACCGTGGAGCCTTCGGTGGACAGAAAGGCTTGCGCTGTATCTGAACCTCTTTCCACACTCCAAGCATTGACATGGAAACTCCCCAGTGTGGATTCTTTGATGCTCCCTGAGAGTCTTTTTAGTAGAAAAGTTTTTGCCGCACTCCGAGCAACTACAGAGTCTCTTTCCTGTGTGGATGGTTTCATGGGCTCTGAGGGCTATGTATTGACTGAAGCATTTCCCACACTCTGTGCACTTACAGGGTTTCTCCCCTGCATGGGCTCTTGGATGGTTTTTAAGGTCTGGGCTCCCACTGAAGCTTTTCCCACACTCTAAACATTCATTAGGCTCCTCCTTGGTGTGCATTTTTTTATGCCGTTTAAGAGCAGTTGAGTTGGGGAAATCTTTCCCACACTTGGAGCACTTGTGGGCTTTCTGGGCAGTATGAATTCTCTGATGTCTTAAAAGAGTGGATTTTTGGGCATAGCTCTTTCCACAATCCACGCATTTGTACGGGTTCTCCCCTGTGTGGGTTCTCTGGTGCACCTTGAGGGCGTTTTTATTTGCAAAACTTTTACCGCACTCCGAGCACTGGTAGGGTTTCTCTCCTGTGTGGATTCTTTGATGGCTTTTAAGGCCTCCGCATTGAGTGAAGCGCTTCCCACACTCTGAGCATTCATAGGGTTTCTCCCCTGTATGGAGCCTTTGGTGGTTTTTAAGGTTCGTGATGTGACCGAAGCTTTTCCCACACTCTGAACATTCGTAAGGCCTCTCCCCGGTGTGTGTTTTTTGGTGCTGTTTAAGAGCATTTGTATATGAAAAACTTTTCCCGCACTCTGAGCACACGTGCGTTTTCTCGGGAGTATATTTCTCCCCCGTGTGGGTACTTTTATGATTTCTGAAGCCTGCCCATTGACTGAAGCGCTTCCCACACTTTGAGCATTTATAGGGCTTCTCCCCGGTGTGGATCCTTGTATGTTCCTTAAGGTTTCTGCTCTGACTGAAGTGCTTCCCACACTCTGGGCATTTATAGGGTTTCTCCCCTGTATGGACCCTTTGGTGTTCTTTAAGGTTTCTCCTCCGACTTAGGGTCTTCCCACATTCTAAGCACTTGTAGAGTTTCTTATCCAGGTGAGATCTTTGGTGCAAGTTTAGGTAAGAGTTTGAAGCCACCTGCTTCCTGATCTCCAAAGATGTCTTGGTTTTCTCTCCCTTAAGAGTTCCTTGTTGATCCTGACACCTGCTGTGTCGACTTAGGCTCGTTCCACCCACTGAGAATTTCATCCCTTTCTCTCCATTGTGAAAGGGCCTTCTGCTTCCTTCCTCCATGAGGCTGGGGTCTTCCAAAGCAATACATGTGGCCCCACTTTGCTGTTTTTCTCCACTTCTCCACCTCTCCTCCTCACTCTGGCTTTTGTTCTCCTTCCCATCACCTGAAATCATCCAATGAGAAATATTGATTAGGAAAAAAGAAATACTCAAGGCAGAGGACACCCCCAAGAAACGAGTCTTTGGAGTGTCAGAACCTGATTGGGGTAGCTGACTTCCCTCAGGAGTCCTACAAAGATTTATAGACCTCCCTGGGAAGGAGAGCAGATGCTATGATTCGTCATAGCTGACATTGTCCCAGTAAAGGGTTAATCCCTGAACGAAACCAGATCATCAGGAATAGGCTGTTTTCCAACTCATCTGGGCATCTTAATATATATCTGTTCATTGTTGCAATAATTCCAGGCAGCTCCAAAGCTTGTTAACTCTGTACAAGTTGTAATTATTTACATCACTTCTAAGTTCCATACTTCAAAGTGGAAAACCCAGACAATATCAAAGAGAATATTACAGTTGTGAGGAGGGGGAAAAAAGCTAAATTTTAAAAAGTAAAAACATACAAACTAAAAAGCATTACTTAGCTCTAAGCATGTTGTTAACATACAGCAATGTGGGAAAGCAAACCTTGATATATGCAATTAATTCTGGCAATAATTAAAACAGAAGACCCACATGCATACAAAGCCCATTTTATTTACTATGTCTATACCAGTGGTTCTCAACATGCCTTGGATCCATTCCAGTCGAGCATCAGGCCATGTCATGGTACGGAAATGGCATTGGTTGCCCTGTTGATAACCTATTGAGGGAGGCCGATAGGGGCAAAATGTCCTTGCTGGTCCTCCTTGATATTTCAGCCACTTTCGACCATGGTATCCTCCTAGGACAGCTCTCTGAGTTGGGGATCGGTGGCCTGGCTCTTTTTGGGGGACCAATCCCAGAGAGTCCAGCTTGGAGAGAATGTATTGGCTCCGCGGCTCCTCATTTGCAGGGTGCCACAGGGCTCGATCATCTCTTCAGTATCTATATGAGGCTGCTGGGAAGAATCACTCAGGGGTGTGGTGCTTCATGTCATCAGTATGCTGATGACGCTCAGCTCTACATCTCCTTTTTTCCAACAGCAGTGGATGCCTTCCTGCCCAAGGGGAGACCCTTGAGAGCCGCCTGGGGGCTGTGCTGCAATGGATACAGGAGAATGGACTGAGGCTGAACCCGGACAAGACAGAGGTCTTGAGGGTGGACACCCCTCCTATTAGTGGTTTGGGAAGCTCTCCTCTTTAGGGGAAGACCAAAGTATGGTCCACAGCTTGGGGGTCCATTTTGACCCAACTTACCATGGAATCTCAGGTAGCGTCTGTGGTCCGTACCGCCCATCTGTATCTTTGGCGGATTGCCCAGCTGCCCTCCTGTCTGGATGTTGGGGCGCTCACCACTCTAGTCCATGCGCTCGTAGTCTTGACATTAGACTACTGTGCTGCGCTGTACATGGGGCTACCCTTGAGATTGATGCGGAAACTACAAATGGCCCAAAATATGGTCGCCAGACTATTAACCAGTATGAAAAAATACCATTACATTTCCCCCACTCTGGCGGCCTTATGCTATGATTCGTCATAGCTGACATTGTCCCAGTAAAGGGTTAATCCCTGAACGAAACCAGATCATCAGGAATAGGCTGTTTTCCACTCATCTGGGCATCTTAATATATATCTCTTCATTGTTGCAATAATTCCAGGCAGCTCCAAAGCTTGTTAACTCTGTACAAGTTGTAATTATTTACATCACTTCTAAGTTCCATACTTCAAAGTGGAAAACCCAGACAATATCAAAGAGAATATTACAGTTGTGAGGAGGGGGAAAAAAGCTAAATTTTAAAAAGTAAAAACATACAAACTAAAAAGCATTACTTAGCTCTAAGCATGTTGTTAACATACAGCAATGTGGGAAAGCAAACCTTGATATATGCAATTAATTCTGGCAATAATTAAAACAGAAGACCCACATGCATACAAAGCCCATTTTATTTACTATGTCTATACCAGTGGCCCGTCATGAAAAATCAAGATTCTCTAGAAAAGGCAATACTGCTG